GTTTCGGGCCTAGACCCTTCATCAGAAAAAGGGTCTAGGCCCGAAACGTCAGCCTCTCTGCTCCTATGATGCTGCTTGGCCTGCTGTGTTCATCCAGCCCTGCACCTTGTTGTCTCGGATTCTCCAGCATCTGCAGTTCCTACTATCTCTTTTTTTTGTGCCTGTTGTGTTTGGAGCACAGATCTTTTGTTTTCCAAAGGCATCTGGATATTGCTCAGAAGATCAGCATTTGTTACCCGTTATTGAGCTGAGCTTTCAATTCCAGATTTTTTTAACTGAGTTTAAATTGTTATACGTATAGCTACATAGTTGTAACTACATCTGCACCCATAGCGGAGCTGCACCTCTGGATTACGAGTCAGTGACATTGCTCCCTCTACTGTGGAATTATGAAGATCTCTGATTTGCACTTCAGAGATTTTCTGTCCAATGAGCAATTCTGGTCCAGACAATGCCAGTGTTTGAATTTCTGAATAATGGATGTTTTCATCTCAATCCTCCACCCCACCTTTTCCTTGCTCGGTCTTAGTGGATGGTACTGCAGTTTACACAGTTTCATCAGCAGATGGCAATATCAAACTAATTCAGAGTGCTGCTCCCTCTGGGGAAATGGCCCTCTTGACTTTATGACCCAGTTTCCTGTTAATAAGTGTTTTTGGCTGTTTCTAACCTTTGGTGATTTTTTTTTGCCTATCGTAAGTCAAGTAAATGAGCCTCCAATAAAGCTAAGCAAAGTGTGACCTTCAGTCAAAATGCAAGCTTTTGTTTCATTTTGAGAAGAGGTGGTATGTCATAAAAGCATAGGTCAGTGCAATGGTTAGTTAAAGGTGTTCAGAGTGGCTTTAGTCCGGGTCATTCTTTAGTAATCGGAGCTGTATCTATTTGAAGTAGTTTACTCTACCTTTTGTTTGTTCTTCTATGTAATATGGCTTTCTGTGTGCTTTTCCCTGCCTGTGTATCTTTTCCTGTCTACCTGTGTGTCTGTACCTGTCTCCATTTACTGATGTGTCTGGCCCATCTGCCCTGCCCATTTATCCCTGTTTGTGTATCTGGTTCTGCTTGTCTTTCTGCCTGTGTGTCTCACCCTGTCTGTCTGAAGGAGCAGAGGCAAATTTGAAACTTTTATTCTTTACTTCTTGTCTCTGCAGCGAGCTACCGCAGTACCTGCAAGGAAAGCTGAGTACTTTGATTCAACAGAACCCGTCCAGAACAGAGTGTACAAGTCATTGAAAGTCTGGTCCATGTTAGCAGATCTGGAGGAGAGTCTCGGCACTTTTAAGGTGATTAAAGTCCTGGCCTCCTCTGTTTTCTCATTTCACGTGTCATAAAAGTGTTTAAATTTGACATAATTGGATGATTTCTTATTTTTGTTTTACCTGTGATGTTGGTGGAAAGCAGTAGGATCCTGCTTGTCTGCTGTGAGCTGTATGGAGCTTGCTGCCAAATCCAATGTGGCTCCGCACCACATTTCCATTGATATTACAGGCACTCTTGTGTAGGACAAGTTTGGTTGTTGATAAGATCACACGTGCCAGGCTGTTCAAAAACTGGCCTGCTCCTGTCACAGGCTCTTTTGGAGTGCGAGACAGTATCATTATACTGTTTAAACATGAGTGGGCCTGCAGTGATGGAAGTGAATAAATTGCATCATACGTTAAGTATTAAAAATTGAAAAATGGGATGTGGGTGCAGAAAACCTCATGAAGCAAAACAAATGGATTTGAAACCAAGATAACAAGGTGTAGAGCTGGATGAACACAGCGACCAAGCAGCATCAGAGGAGCAGGAAGGCTGACGTTTCGGGCCTAGACCCTTCTTCAGAAAAAATTGAAACGAAGACGTCCAAGATACGATAGGGTCTCCTTTAAAATGGTGTGTAGCAAGTGAAAACAGAATGTTGTGGGACTCATGTTAGAATCATAGACTGGTTGCAGCACAGAAAGAGGTTATTTGGCCCATTCTGTTCATGCCTCTTTGTCTGCAAGCTCAACTTGTTTAATCCCTGTCCCCTGCCTTTGACTGTTAGTCCTAAAATTTCTTTCCCCTTGGGCAATTCTCCAATTTTTCTTCTGAAAGCCTCCATTGAATCTGCCTCCACCACGTTCCCAGGCAATGTATTCCAGGCCCTAACCACTGACTACGTAAAGGAAATGTTTAATGTAGATTAACAAAAGGAAATGGTGTGTGTTTTGTTTCTTAGTTACTGCTTAATTAATCCTTTATTTTTAAAATACTTCTATTTTCAAACTAGTCCACAAAAGCTGTTTATGACAGGATTATAGATCTCCGAATTGCCACGCCGCAAATAATCATCAATTACGCGATGTTTCTGGAGGAGCATAACTACTTTGAAGAAAGTTTTAAGGTGCGTCTTCACTTTTCTTTCTGTTCGGCAGCACTGGACAAGGAGTTTCATTCTTGCAGTCATGCTTGATCTGTAAATGTTTTTTTTTCAAATTAGGCATAGAAAGGTTATGTCTTTGAAACACTCGTTAGTTTTCAAGCTAAAATGGGCGAACATCCAGGCATCTGTTGGGAGGATGTTGGCTTCATTCCTGAGACCTGTGAAAGCTGGGTCCTTGGCATGGTGAAAAACATGGAATACATGGTTGCAATGTTCTTGTATGGTGATTGGTTTGGTAATACTCACCTACCTGAAGCCTGACAAGGGGACAGACTTTTGGCGTTATAGAGCCTGCAGCCCAAAAGGGTGGTCTCGGGAAAGAAGAGGAGAAAGTCAGGAGAGAAAAATATCATGGAATATTTATAGCTGCATTCATCGTGTTGGATTGTAGTAACAATCATGTAGAACCTCACAGCTTCTGACTGGTTAGATTTAATACCTCTAACACACCACTTCCTCCAATGGCTTATGCCAGTTGAAGTTTAGAAGAACGAGAAGTGGTCTTATTGTCAAATAAGATCTTGAGGGCACTGGATGTGTTGGATACCCAAAAATGTTTCCTCTTGTGTGGGAGCCCAAAACCAGGGGTATAGTTTAAGAATAAAATGTCTCCATTTTAATTTTTTTTCTTTATTCATTCACGGGATGAGGGTGTCGCTGGTTAGGCAGCATTTATCACCCATCCCTAATTGCCCAGAGGGCAGTTAACCACATTGCTGTGCGTCTGGAGTCACATGTAGGCCAGATCAGGTAAGGATGGGAGTTTCTTTCCCTAAAGGATATTAAGACACAAACATAGAGAATTTTTTTTTCCTCTGAGGGCCATTAGAATGTGGAATTCTTTTCCTCAGAAGGTAATAAAGTTTGGGTCATTGAATTAGATATTTGATTGAGTTGGGAGTTGAGTCTTATGGCGGAGGGCATGTTGGTGGTAGTGACTGCGGCAGACAGGAAAGTGGAGCTGAGACAATAACTGCGTGAACCACTGATTATATTGAATGGGGAAGCAGGCAAGAAGGACTGAATGGCCAGCTCTGAAGTCCTGTGTTCTGATGTTCACCAGTGCCTTCTAGTTTGGAATCTGAGGGCTGCCCACTGCTCGGACTGGGCTTCTCTTTGTCACATTGGGTATGAGGCATTATTACTGCGGCTTTGGAATAAAAACCGTCCAGCTCATGAATGAAATCAAGGTGCCAGAGGATTTAAAATCACAAATCCAAATTCATTCCAGATTTATATACTTTGTGAAAGTTGTATAAGTAAGAGAACTAATTATCAGGCACCCAAACTGCATTTTAAACGTCAATACATGTGATCCAGAAAATGACAAAAGTAAATGAACCCCGCATGCCTCCAATTTTAAACACCATCTCTCTTTCCCTTGTGTAGGGTTTTATTGCTGTATCCTAGCAACAATTTTCAATTGAGAGCAATAATGGCTTAATGATGCTTAGTTTGTCATTATCTTTACTGTCATGCTTGACATATCCTCCAAAATTGCACTTTTTGCTCGTTGGAGTGTTGTGTTTTTGATGGGCAAATGAAAATAGTTAGAGGCACACAATTAAATATGTTCTGATTGCTCTCCCCCTTTGCTGATGATGAGACATGCCATTGAACTGTTCAGCGTTAAACTCAATCACAGAGAACAGGAAGGCCATATTTTCAATAGCTTCTGCAATCAGTGCAATTTGATGAAAGGATAGATGATGCTACAGCTGACCTTGTCTCTCCCTCAGCAGTGTGGCACTCCCTCAATACATACAATGCTGGGAGTGTCAGTTTAGAGGTTTTCCAGGGCCCTCAACCAGGTCCGACCCATCTCCCGCACTTCCGTCCTCACCCCTTCTCTTCCCTCCCACAACAGCGATAGGGTTCCCCTTATCCTCACCTACCATCCCACCAGCATCCACATCCAGAAGATCGTCAGACGCCATTTCCGCCACCTCCAGCAAGATGCCACCACGAGACACATATTCCCCTCCCCTCCCTTGTCCACCTTCCGCAGGGACCGTTCCCTCCAGGACACCCTGGTCCACGCTTCCTTCACCCCGGCACCTTTCTCTGTAACCAGCGAAGGTGCAATACCTGCCCATTTACCTCCTCCCTCCCCAGTATCCAAGGGCCAAACGCGCCTTCCAGGTGAAGCAACACTTCACCTGCACTTCCCAGAATCTAGTCTACTGCATTCACTGCTCACAATGTGGTCTCCTCTACATTGGGGGAATGAAGCATAGACTTGGCAACTGCTTTGCAGAACATCTATGTTCTGCCCACAAAAAAGACGCTGAACAACATGTTGCCTGCCATTTCAATGCACCATCCTGCTCCCTGGCCAACATCTCTGTCTCTGGCTTGCTGCAGTGTTCGAGCAAAGCCCAATGCAAGCTGGAGGAACAACACCTCATTTTCCGCTTCGGGACCCTACAGCCCTCCAGACTCAATATTGAGTTTAATAATTTTAGGGCCTAAACTCTCCCATGTCCCAGCCCCCCACCCCACACACCAGGTCTTGTTACCACATCGCCTGCCATTACACACCCCCTGTTGTTAGTCACTAACAGTCCCCATTAAAACATGCTATTAACAAACACATAGAACTCGACCCCATATACATTCCACTATGGAGGAAACCCGGAAGTGAGGCCATCCAGCTCAACAGACTCCAGAGTTTAAAACCAGGCGGGAAAACACACCGATGCTTCATCAGAGGCTGCACTGAGGATGTTACCCAGCACGGTAATGAAACGTCTGCGGAACAACAAACCAACTCGGCAAGCCAACCAACCCCAACACCCACAACCCGAGCTACAGATCTACTCCAAAACCTTAGTCCCCATTAACAACTATTCACCCTCCTAGCCTAATCGTTAGCAACTCCTTTGTCTGTCCAACTGTCTTTCTCTCTCTTTGGGCTCTATCCTATGGTTTACACCCACCTCCCTATTTTCTGCATATAAACTGACGTTTTCCCAGCCACCATCAGTTCTGAGGAAAGGTCACTGGACCCAAAACGTTAACTCTGTTGTCTCCTTCACAGATACTGCCAGACCTGCTGAGCTTTTCCAGCAACTTTGTTTTTGTTCCTGATTTACAGTATCCGCAGTTCTTTTGGTTTTTATTTAGAGGTTTTCCTTGATTGGCTCAAATCCTACTCTCAACAATGACCCATGACTGGGAATTTGATTTGTTTTAATCCATTCGTGGCTAGGACAGCATTTATTGTCCATCTTAATTGTTCTTGAGAAGATGATGGTGACCTGCCTCCATGAACTGTCCAAATGGGGTAGGGGCTGTTGGGATAAATGGGTCTTCTTCAGGTTGGACATACGTGACTGATGGAGCGTCACAAAATCAGTCCTAGGCCTCAATTATTTACTATCCATATTAACACTTTGAAGGTGCAGAGTATCCAAATTTGCTGATGATACAAAAATAGGTGGGACAGCATGTTGTGCTGGGGACATAAGGAATTTGTATGAGGCTATAAATAGGTTCAGTGAGTGGGCAAAAACTTCACAGTTGGACTTTAATGAAAGAAAGTGTAGGGTCATGCACTTTGGTCAGAAGAATCAAAAGACAAACTATTATTTAAATGTAAAGAGACTCCAAAAAAGTACAACACAGCGGTATCCAGGTGTTCCTGTGCATGAAACACAAAATGTTAACATGTCAGTGCAGCAAGAAATTAAGATGTCAAATGGAATTTTGGCTTTCCTTGCTAGAGGGTTGGAACTTAAAAATAAGGAAGCCTTGATACAGCAATGCAGTGTTGGTGAGGCTGCACTTGGAGTACTGCATACAGTGTGGGTTCCTGTAGTTGAGAGGATGTACTGGGACTGGAGGCAGTTCACTTGATTGATTCCTGGGTAACTTATCAAGACCATCTAAACAGTTCAGCCATTTCATTCGTTAGAGTTTAGGAGAATGAGGAGTGATCTTATTGAAATTTATAAGATTCTAAGGTGACGTGGCAGGTTGATGTTGAAAAGATGTTTCCACTGGTTGGGCAATGTCAAACTAGCAGACATAGTTACAGAATAATGGAACACTTCAAAAAACCGAAAGAACTGCGGATGCTAGAAATCAGAATTAACGTTTCTGGTCCTTCTTCAAAACTACTTGGGAACGCTCCATCTGAGGTACAAAATAATTTCTGCTGTGAGGGTGGTGAATGTGTGGAATTCTCCAGAGAGTTATGGAGGCTAGATCACAAAATAGTTAATGAGGAGGTGGATAGATTTTTAAAAATCTATCAGGGAATTGAAGGCTATGAGGAGCTCGTAGGAAAGAGAAGTTGTGGCCTGGGGAAAATCACCTTAGACAGCACTCCAAACCCACAACCATTCCCACCTAAAAGGACAAGAGGAACAGCTACATGGCAACACCACCACCTGCAAGTTCCCCTCCAAGCCACTCAGTGTCCTGATAGAGATATATTGCTGTTCCTTCATTGTCACTGGATCAAATTCTGAATACATTCGCATTGTTGGTCTACCTAGACCAGTTGGACTGCAGCAGTTCAAGAAGGCAGCTTGCCACCGGCTTCTCAAGGGCATCTAATAAATGCTGGTCCAGCCAACAATGCGTATATCTTATTCTGAACTCGGGTAATGATGGGAGGGCTTTACTTTTACACATTCGTGGGGTGAGGTCATTGTTGGATTGTCCATCTGAAATCACCCTTGAGAAAGTGGTTTTGAGCATTCTGTATGGTGTAGCTGCACAAATGGCATTGCTCACAGTTGAAGCTGGGAGGTGTAATATAGTCCATTGACTTGTCTCCTGAATGCTATTCAATGACCCTTGTATGTATGGGCTGTGTAGAGCAGGTTTGAGCCCAGCATGCCTGCTAGCACTCTGCCTTGTCTGGAATAGATGGTCTCATGGGCAAGATATTGATTGTTTTTAACCCTTCAATTAAGTCCAGCAAGGATCCAACACTTTTGTGAGGGAGCTAATGGTCAGAAAATGGAGCTACAGAATTAAATGTACGTCCGAATCTGATACAGAAATTATCACTTTGGTACTTCTGTAGTTGGTAGGGCCTCAAATTGGGACAACTGAATATGGTGGAGGATTCCAGGCAAGTTCCTATTATCCAGATGATCATTTGGCTTATCAAACAACTATCAGATTTTATTTTTGGGATTAAGAATCAGGATTGTAATGCCCTGGATGTATTTTCTGAGTAGCCATGTCCTCTCAGTAACCCAGCTGATTGCACTATACTTTGCGTTTCTAAAAGCATGAGAAGTAAGAGCAAGAGTCAGCCATTCAGTCCCTTGAGCATGGTCTGTCAGTCAACAAGATCAGTTTGATCTGATGTAGCTGTTACTGCACATTGCTTCCCATATCTCTTGTCAGTCAAAATCAGTCTAAGTCAGACTTGAATATATTCAGAGACCCAGCCTGATTCCAAACACTTCTGGTCCTCTAAAAGCATTAATTCCTCCTTTGCATCTTCTTCCCTTACCTTGAAGCTAAAGTATTTATATTTATTTATTTTTAATCACTTAGGCATTTGCAATGGAAAAACTGCCTGTTTTGGCTTTGTTTAGGTTTATCACAAAACACAAGACTTACTATTTGCTTATTACTTCCTGGCCTTGTGTGCCACCTGGTTTTGCATTGTGTTGCAATAAGACTATACTAATACTGTATGCAAAAATCCAGGAGCATGGACAATGGGGCAGTTCATTGTGCCTTCGTGTTCGTAACCAGTGATTCCTGGCAAATCTAAAAATTAATCTCCCGAGAGATGCTATCTGCTCTTGCTACTCTTCTGATTTGTGAATCATGTATTCATTATGCAGATGCCAGGAGCTGTAATAAAAGTTTCTTGGATTCTTTAGCACTATGTGACCCATGTCTCGTATTTTGTTAAGAGAACTAACATCAGTCTCACAGACATTTTCTTACTAAGGAGTAACAAGGTTTGTAGAGTCATGGGCAGATTAATGGAGTTCAGGTACAGTTCAGCCTGTGATGTAATTGAGTGGCAGAACAGGCCCGAATTGCTACTGCCTGTCCCTATGTTTGCACATGCCTGCTTTGATGATTAATTATATGATATATTGTGGAATCTATAACCACGGGTGAGGTGTGGAAGAGTGGAGGGTGGCTAATATGCCTTTGTTTAAGAAAGGCTGTAAGGAGAAGCCTGGGAACTGTAGACCTGTGAGCCTGACATCAGTGATGGGTAAGTTGTTGGAGGTGATTCTGCATTTGGAGAGTCAAGGACTAATTGGAGATAGTCAGCAATGTTTTGTGAAAGGGAGATTGTATCTCACAAACTTGATTGAGTTTCTTTGAGGAAGTAACCAAACGATCAATGAGGGCAGAGCAGTAGATGTTGTTTACATGGACTACATTTACTAAAGCGTTCCGCCTGGTAAACTAATTAATAAAGTTAGATCAGTTGTTATTCAGGGTGAGTTTGTCAATTGGATACAAAATTGGCTTGACAGTAGGAGACTTGGTGGTGGCAGAGGGTTGTTTTTCAGACTGGAGGCCTGTGACCAGCAGTGGTCTACAGGGCTCAGTACTGGGTCCACTTTTGTCATTTTATAGAAATGACTTGGATGAGAATATAGAAGGCATGGTTAGTAAGTTTGCAGATGAAAGCAAAATTGCTGGTATAGTGGACAGTGAAGAAAGTTATCTAAGATTACAAAGAGATCTTGATCAATTGAGTCAATGGGCCAAAGAGTGCAGATGTAGTTTAATTTGGATAAATGTGAGGTATTGCAGTTTGACAAAACAAACAAGGGCAGGACCTGTACAATTAATGGTAGTGGGTATTATTGTAGAACACAAAGACCTAGGGATTCAGGTACATAATGCTTTGAAATTTGCGTCACAGGTGGACAGGGTGATTAAGAAGGTTTTTAGCATGCTTGCCTTCATTGCTCAGACCTTTGAGTAAAGGAATTAGGACATCATTTTGAGTTTGTACAGGACATTGGTGAGGCCTTTTCTGGAGTACTGTGTGCAGTTCTGGTCGCCCTGTTATAGGAAGGATATTATTAAATCGGAAAGGGTTCAGAAAATATTTACCAGGATCTGCTGGGAATGGGAGGGCTTGAGTTATAAGGAGAGGCTGGATAGGCTGGGACTTCCTTCACTGGAGTGTAGGAGGTTGAGGGATGACTTTAAAGCTGTTTATAAAATCATGAGGGACACATAAGGTGAATGGCAGATGTGTTTTCCATAGGGTGGGGCGTTCAAACCTAGGGGGCATATTTTTAAGGTGAGAAGAGAGTTTTAAAAAGGATATGAGGGGCAACCTTTTTACATAGTGTGTGGAATGAACTGCCAGAGGAAGTGGTGGATGCAGATATAGTTACAATGTTTAAAAGACATTTGGATAAGCACATGAATAGGAAAGGTTTAGACAGATAGGTGCCAAATGCAGGCAAGTGGAACTAATTTAGTTTGGGAACATAGTTGGCACGGACTAGTTGGATCAAAGGGTCTGTTTCCATGTTGTGTGATTCTATGAATGAATTATAGCAAAGAAGCTTTAAAGGTGTATAAAATTTGCCGAGCAGTCTATTTTTCTGCATGTCATTTATGAATAGAACTAAATAGACTAGAACAGACCATTAGACTGCGCCACTAGGCAGGGTCTAACCACCCCAACCCAAACTCTTCCTCCTCTTCCCTCCCGCTCCATTCCAGCAACAGTTTTCCAGGCTATTTTTTATTCGCTTATAGGGCATGGGCATTGCTGGCTGGTCAGTATTACTTACTTCCCATCCCTAGCTGCCCTTGAGAAACTTCCACTCGTTTAACCAAGCCATTTGTGCTCTATTTCAACAATTTACTGTTAGTCCTGAGTATGAATCTTCCCTGGTGGCCAGAACTGCAGGCATAATGTGAGTTATAATGTTTTAATTCTCACTGGGACATTGTTCCGGCCAGAATCATGCACTGCAGAAGAAGGCCATTCAGCCCATTATATCAATGCGAGGTAAGCCAACCCAATTTAGCAATGCCGTGTTATGACCAGCCAATCATTTCTTCAGATTGTTGTAAACTCTTGTTTCCTTATGGAAGTGGGATGCTTGGGACTGTATTTTATGTTGGTTGCAGAAAGCTAGAAAATATATGGGTTGTTTCAAACAGGAATGATTATTCTTAAGAGTCTAGCTTGGGCTGAACAACATAGGCTTTTAGTCGATTTCTGAAATTAATTCATATGTTATGTTCCTGTGTATATAAAATAAAGCAGTTTTTCCCCATGCTGCCCCAAGCTATCATGGCTAATTTGTTTCTGTTATTGAACATTACAAATTTGATTCCCGGTCTGTGCAATGGGAATCAAGGTCTCGAGTCTAATAAAACGTTCAGACTTGACAGTGCATTGCAACTTAATGCAGGACTAGGTAGCAACCATGGTGAGATGATGTCGTAATCATAATTTCACTCAACTAATAATCCTGGCTAATGCTCTTGGGACACATATTCAAATCCCGGCATTTCGACTGATGCAATTTAATTTCAGTTAATTATCCTGGATTGTAAAGCATGTCTTAGTGCCTGCAGTGTGTACAGTGTGCATGATAAACTGGAAGTAACTCATCAAGGCTCCATCGATAGCATCTTCCAAACCTCCGACCTCTACCACCGAGCAGGACAAGGGCAACAGATGTGTAGGAGCACCACCACCTGCACGTTCCTGTCCAAACTCTTCTCAGCTTCCTGACTTAGAACTATATTGGCAGACCTTCATTGTTGCGGGTCAAAATGGGTGTAGCTTCACCATGTTGACTTCAGCTGCTTGAGAAGATGGTTTAGCATCACCTTCTGAAGGACAGTTAGGGAAAGGCAATTTCAGTAAATGCTGGGCTTAACAGGGATACCCACATTTCCTGAAAAAAAGTTTGACAAAATGTTTCTTAAAAAACATCACATGAGACAAAGAGCATGAACGCTAGCTTGGACTGAACCGAGTCCTGTCAATGCTTTGTAATTCTCTGTTTCAGCTTGAATGATGTTTGTCAGATGGCATTTAACCCTGATAAGTGTGAAGTGATGCACTTTGGAAGAAGAAACAAGAGGAGGGAGTATTTAATGAATGGTAGGACACTGGGTACCTTAGAGAAACAGAGGGATCTTGGGATGATTAGTCACAGATCCCTCAAGTCAGCAGAGCACGTGAATAGGATAGTTATGAAGGCAGATGGGATACTTGCTTTCACCAGTCGTGGCGTAGAGTAAGAGCAAGGAGGTAATGTAAGAGGTGTTTTTGAACCTAGTTTTTGTAGCTGAATAGGATGCAGTTCATCAACTAACAGTAAAAGGCTCTCTTTCTCCAGCATAACCCAGTGTGCTTTTTTTTTTGCAGGCTTATGAGAGGGGGGTTGCTCTATTTAAGTGGCCCAACGTGTACGACATTTGGAACACTTACCTTACCAAATTCATCGATCGGTACGGTGGAAAGAAACTGGAACGAGCACGAGACCTGTTTGAGCAAGCTCTTGATGGGTGTCCACCGAAATTTGCCAAAAGTCAGTACTTAAAACTCGTGGCTGTAACTCTTATTCAAGCTTGCGGTCAGTAACCCAGTTGAAGCCTTGTGAAGTGAAACACAACTTGTGTTGCAGTCATTGATGCGAGCCTCTAGGAATTTCAGGCAGTTTCAGTAAAATGTCACTTTGCTTTTTCTTTTAGATTTTGTTATGCTTTGTGACAAATTTTTTAGGTGTGATCACATTCTCATGGCATCATTCAAAACTGACAATGTACTTCTTTTTCATTGCAGTAAGCAGTTTTGTTTGTATTAAAAATAAATATAGATTGGTTGTAGGATTTGAATTAGCTACAGATTGTCATTCCAATTATAAATCCATACAACGAGTTTGAATTATTTCTGATTCTACACACCCAGATGTGATTTAAGAATTTTTAAATGTATTTTTGGAGCCTAGCAAGGCTTTTGGAATGTGCTTGTGATCTGCAGTATGCACCTCTGAACCATGCCCTTCACATGTGGTAGGTAATCAAATGCCTCATTGTTCCTTCTGTTTGGAAATGTTCCAGTACTATATGAAAAAAAGCTTCAAGTCTGAGAGGATGACTCCATTCTTCAGTCTCATCCTTTGTCCCAGTTGTGTGCCTTCATTTTATCTGTATTCAATACATAGGGTCAGAAATAGTCTATTCTGTGATTGCACAGGGTCGTACTGTATCTTGACTCCTTTCACCTGCTTCAGCTCCGTATTATTTTATAGCTTTGTCTAGCAAAACTCTTTGATCTTTGTTTTAAATATTAATAGTTGAGCTGGTGCCCACACTGCGGCTGCTCCCTGTCTGAAGAACCTTCCCTCATTTCTCTCCTGGATGGCCTTGCTCTGATTTTACGGTTGTCTTTTCCTGAATTTTCTTTCTATTTCCCTCTAATTTGTAAACCTTGAGTTCTCTGCCTGAAGGCAGTTCTAACCCAATGCATTGTGACCGCCACTTGTAGCCGGGACTGCCACTTGTAGCCGGGACTGCCACTTGT